GTCACCAAAGTTGAAGATGAGGCACAAAATGGACAAAAATCATTCGTCAACTCAGCATTTGAGACGAGTCAGTCTTGATATTATTCAAGAAAAGCTATTATTCTTACCTTATATTTACAGACGAGGAAACGGACAAAAAAGACAGCGACGGAAAGGAAGTCAAAAAATCAGCTTCTACAACAAATTTGAAGTCTCCACATGATTTCCCTCATCACATTCTAGACGATGTGTTGGAAGAGAACGAAGAGGAAGTAAAGGTTTGTTCATAGTGGAAAAACGAATTAAGGAAAATAGATGTGCTTGCTTTAGGCACTGCGCAAGAAAAGCGTAATAGAACCTACAGGATTTGCGAGTTCGACTGGCACGTCATCAAATGCAGGAGAAGATAACTCCAGCACTCCACTTCCACCACCAACCGATGCAAATGCGGAAGAAAAGTCCAGTACTCCACTCTCGCCACCAACTGATGCAAAAGCAGAGGAAACTAAATCTGATACCCCAACGTCATCTCAAACTGGTGATGCAGAGACTACGAGCAAACGAAAAACCAGCGAATTTATCATTGGTCATGACAGCTGATTCCCGTTACCACAGCTTTCTCTATGCTTCTCCCAAGGCTGCTTCAGCAGCGAAAAAATTCGCAGCGCTCACTGCTGTAATCCTCATTTTCTAATCAGGTGCAGTATATAGGGCAACATTCGCGGCTATTATATTTGTTATCTACGATGTTATGGGTATATGTTCACTCGCTCATATCGCTGGTTTCACTGGTCACCGGAAATGCTGTGATTTCTGCAGTCACATTGAGGTATGCCCTGCGTACTGGTGTTTTTGTACCTCATTGCTGTTGTATGGTTAACTAAATCATTCTTCAATCTTGTTTTATACATATATGAAGAGCCTTATCGCTTTATAATGTCTTCAAAAGCCAAGATTAGGCACACAAAAGGAGTTGTAGAGGAAACTCCTCAGACAATTCATGGGAACTTCATGAGGGCTGTGGGGGAACTTTCCGCAGGTCACCTCGGAAA